GAGCTGCGGCGGCTGCGCGAGCAGGAGCAGGAGGAGAAGGCGCGGCGGCGCGCGCGGCCCGAGCGCGAGCGCGGGGAGGCCCCGGCCGCGGGCAGCGGCGGCAGCAGCGGCGACGCGCCGGGCGACGAGGACGAGCCCGTGCGGAAGCGCGGCCGCCAGGGCCGGGGGCCCCAGTCCTCCTCCGACTCGGAGCCCGAGGCCGAGCTGGACAGAGAGGTGCGGCCCCGGGGCCCGGGCCGGGAGGGTCACTCCGGGTGGGGGGCGACGCCGCGCGGGGGAGGCTCGGCCCCAGGGCCGCCGCTCGGTGCAGCCGTGGACGGGGCACCTGCTGGCTGCCCGCTGAGAGCGCCAAGCTGGGGCTGGAGCAGACACCCTGAGGGGCTGCCCCCGAGGAAGGGAGACAGGTAGTGGACGACAGGAGGACTGGTCATGGGGCGTTCTGTGCTCAGGAGGAGAGCAAAGCGAAGGAGACTGAAGCGTTAGGGGACAGGCTTCCATTGTAAGTAGGGTGGCCCTGAAGGCTTCAGAGGAGAAGGTGCCATTGAAGTAGGGATCTGAATGAAGTGAGAAGTGATCTGGAGGAAAGACGTCCCAGGCAGCAGGCACAGCCCATGCAAAGGCCCTGGGGCAGGACCAGGCCTGGTGTGTGACAGGAACAGCAAGGAGGCCGGTGTGGCTGGAGCAGAGGGAGCGAGGGGGACAGAGGGAGGAGGGAGGGCGGGGAGGGGACAGGGCAGGTCGTGTGGGGCCTGGTGGCCGCAGGGAGGACTCAGGCTTCTCCCCCGAGGGAGGGGGATCCTGGAGGGCTGCGGGCGGAGACTCAGGTGTCCGCAGGTGTCCTCTGGCCCCTATGGCAGAGCAGCTTGTAGGGTGAGTGAGGGGGCAGTTAGGAGGCTGGCAGAGGCGGTGGTGACCATCAGCTACCGTGTGGTCCCCTGAGCCCATCAGCTGCCCAGCCCCCTGACGTTCACAGTCCAGCCTGAACCAGAGTCTGCCTCCCAGGCCCGTCACCTTCTAGCCCAAGCCCAGGACCCCATGTGGGGCGGGAGGCAGGACGACCCCTGTTTTCTCCCCATCGCACTCCCTTTGGTCACAAAGAGGGGACTGAGTTCCCTGCCCCAGGAGGCATTGTGGCCACGGCTTCAAGCCCCTTGGCGGGGGGATGGGGCGGGGCTGCCCCTCGGCTGGGTGGCGGCTTGGACTCCAGCACCCCCAGCTCCTTTCAGGGCCTGAGAAGCTGCTGCCCGGGTATGGACTGGACGCGGGTCCTTCCTGTCCGTCCTGCCCGGTCCGCCAGCCCCCAGCAGCGCGGAGGTGGTGGCAGGAGGGGCCGAGTCTCTGATGGCAGGGCCGGGGTCTGGGGTCAGCCCCTGCTGCCACCGCTCCAGCCCTGCTTTCTCTGGCCGCCGCAGGCGAAGAAGTCGGCTAAGAAGTTGCAGAGCGCGGAGCCCGTGAGGAGAGCCAGCCAGAAGGAGAAGCGAGGGCGGCCCGACGACAAGCCCCGGGCCAGGTCCCCCACTCTGCCCCGCTTCCCCCGGCCCCCTGGGCCCTACCCGTCCTGGTGCCCAGCTTCCGAATTCATTCAGATCCAGTTGAAGTGTCTGTTTCTCGGGGCCCCATCAGGTCGTGTAGGAGCCTCTGATCCAGGGCTGGTCCTTTCCCTAGGCCGGGGTCTCGCCCAGGCGGGGCTGCCCCAGACGACACCGGGCCACATCTGTGGCTGTCACACTGGGGGAGCTCCTGGCATCGGGCAGGTGGGGGCCAGGGATGCTGTTCAACCCTCCGCAGTGCCCAGGACAGCCCTGATGTTCACAGGGCCAAGAGGGAGACCGTCCCCCAGACCAGACGTTTTAAGTCTGAGGCCCGCCGAGGTGGGGGACAGCCCATATCCCTCCCCACGGGGAGCTGGGCAGCCAGACTTGCTGGCCAGGATGTGGGCTTCTGTCATTGATCCGTGTCAGTTCGGAGCACCCTTGAATAACTCATTTGCTGAGTTTCCCATAACTAGATACTAACCCTCAGCCAGGTGTGAAAACAAAGAATTCTGGGATGTCACGTTGTTTGCTCGCAGGAACCAGAGGCAGGGCTGGTGTCTTTGTTCCCCTCGAGTGCCTGCCCTTGGCCAGGTCCCGCGCGGCCTTGACCCCGCCTCCAGGGCCTCCTAGAGGTTTGCTTACGCAGCAGACGTGGGTCCCCTGGCGGGCCCTGGCCCTCAGCGGGGAGGATGTGGTGGCCGCGGCAGGGTGGTCTCGAGGATGATGGGGAGGCGCCCGTTTGAGAGGCATGACTCTCCGCAGGCCTGTGAAGGTGGAGCGAACTCGGAAGCGGTCGGAAGGGTTCCCGCCGGACCGGAAGGTCGAGAAGAAGAAAGGTAAGGCCCGGCTGCCCTGGTCACGGTCTGAGGCCCCCGAGGTGGTGGGGAGGGAGGGCCCCAAGCAGCTGGCTCCTGTCCCTGGGGTGGTGCTCGGGCAGGTCCTCGGCAGGGGTGGGGGTCAGGCCAGCCAGTCCCCATAGCCTGGGCCTCTGTGGCCCTGCTCAGACCCGGGCGGGCTGTTCTCTCCTGGCCCAGAACCTTCTGTGGAGGAGAAGCTTCAGAAGCTGCACAGCGAGATCAAGTTCGCCCTGAAGGTCGACAATCCGGTGAGACGCTTCTCAGGGCCCTGGGGTCACCTCGCAGCTGCCTACCCTGAGCTACCAGTCCGTCTTTGCAGACCCAGGACCCTCGGGGTGCACAGGGTGGGGTCCCTGTTCCTACGTGTGTCCCCCAGCTTGGGGCCAGGCTGGCGTCCTGAGTTGCAGTGCTCGGCGTCCCCACCAGGGGGCGCCACAGGCAGACGCCAAGATCCTTCCATGCCATAGGTCCCTCCGCTTGTCCCCGGGTTCCCCATCGCTCAGCCCTCCCCTGCAGGGAGAGCCCAGGGGTCCTTCCCTGCCCCACTGGGCCCCCAGGACCCCATCAGCCTGCTGCTGCCCTCCTGACTCCCCTCCCACCCCACAGGACGTGAAGAGGTGTCTGAACGCCCTCGCCGAGCTGGGGACCCTGCAGGTGACCTCGCAGATCCTTCAGAAGAACACAGATGTGGTGGCCACATTGAAGAAGGTATGGCACGAGCCCGAGGGGGAAGGGCTGGCCGGCGGGGCCCAGTCCACTGAGGGAGACCACGTCCCCGGCCACAGCCCTCAGTCGGCGAGGAGGAAGCCAGCAGCGGGGCGGGTGCGGGGGTGAGCGTGGGAATGGCAGTCTCCAGGGGAGGTGCCCCCGCTGGGGGTGGCAGCAATCGGGGAGGGTCGTGGGGCGGGGTGAGACCAGCTCCCCGGCCTGAGCCAGGCCTCTTGGCGCGCCAGATTCGCCGTTACAAGGCCAACAAGGAGGTGATGGAGAAGGCCGCGGAGGTCTACACCCGGCTCAAGTCGCGGGTCCTGGGACCAAAAATCGAGGCCGTCCAGAAGGCGAGCAGACCTGGGACAGAGAAGGAGAGAGCCGAGGCGGAGAAGGCCGAGGAGGCGCTGGCCGGAGAGGAGGCCCCCACAGAGCAAGCGGAGGACGAGGCGAGCACTGGTGAGGAGCCGGCCGTCTGAGCCCGGAGCACAGCGTGGCGCCCTGTCCCAGACAGCCGCAGTGGCCTGTTCCTGCTGGCGCTCTGCGCGGGCCGGGCTCTGTCCCCAAGGCAGCGGAATGCACGCCTTCCTGCACAGGCGGTCAGGGGAGGCGAGGCCTCTGCTGGGCCTGAAGGGCCTCCCGAGCAGAAAGGGCAGCTCTGGCAGGGGCAGTGGCCGTGGGGGACGGGAGAGCGTTCCTGCCTGCTGGGGTCACATGGTCCGAGTGACAGCTGCTCAGGGCAGCTCTTAAGCCTGGTGTCAAGATGGCTCAGGGCTCGGGGCACGCCTCAGCCGCCGAGGGACCGCAGAGCAGGCTCTGCTTCTCATTTCTGTCCCAGGCTGAGAGGTGCTTTTCTCCACTGTCGCCCACGGCCACTCCTTTCCCGCCCCTCCCTGCTTCAGGTTCGCGGGGTCGGGGCCCAGCCGGCTGGAGAAGGGAGCCAGCCTCAGCCGGGCCCGGCCTGCTGGGAGCTGATGGTGCCCGTGCGGCCGGGGAGGCGTGGAGGTGGACGCTCACGCGGGCGCCTGGGGCCAGGGCCCTCGAGCGGGGTCCAGGGTGCTTCAGGACCCCTGTCCCAAGGCCGGCTCACTCGCTCTCAGCAGGAAGGGGTAAGGGGTCCCAGACAATAGCCTGGCGGTGTCCCACCCGCCCTGTCTCCCACCCAGACCTCTCGGCCCCGGTGAACGGTGAGGCCACGTCCCAGAAGGGGGACAGCACCGAGGACAAGGAGCAGGAGGAAGGACAGAACTCGGAGGGGGGGCCGGGGGGCGGGTCCTCCGAAGACCTGCTGCACAACGAGTAAGTGTCGCGGGGGCCGCGGCCGTGGGGGCGACTTCCCGAGGGGGCGGTGTGAAGGGCTCCCAGCGTCTGTGCTGCTCCCAGTGGGCTGCTCGTCTGCTGAGGTCGCAGACACTTCGCCCCCCACTGCGCTGGGCCTGCCCCACCTTGGCAGCTGACCCCAGGCCCCTGGCGAGGGATCTCTGGGCTCTGGGCCACCCCAGGCCGGCCCTTGGGCGGGTGGCTCCCTCCTGGCACTCTGGGAGGGGGCACGCAGGCTCTTGCGCCAGCACCCGTCCATTCCGCCAGGCGGTGATCCTCTGTCTCCCTGTGGCCCCGCGTGGTGCACTGGGGGCGCGCGGGGCGGGTGGGTGCTGTCGGGTGCAGGTGACAGACGGCAGGCGGCCCGCTCACGCCCCGCGCCGCGCTCCCAGCAGCACGCGGGAGGGCCCCGGCCTGGCCGCGCCCGGGAAGGAGCGCGAGAGGGCGCGCGCGGACTCCGAGTCCGCAGACGACGAGGACAGCTGAGCCCCGGCGCTGCCTGCCACCCGCCGCCCGCCGCCCAGGGAGCAGAGAACTGTTGGGGAAACGCCGTGCTGTTGTTTGTATTTGTCCCCCTGGGTTTTTTTCTGCCTAATTTCTGTGATTTCTGACTGACATGAAATGACTATAAAGGGTTTTTTTAATGAAAAAAAAAATCACTTTTATTGGCTTGGCTTTCTAGCGTTACTGGTGCGGCCAGGCTGGAGCTGGGGAGCGGTTCGCCGCTCTCGGGCCCGTTTGGGACAAAGGGTTTTAAGCCATAGGGTCACCATGAACAGCGAACGTGAACTTGGTTCTGACGGTGTGCCCGGCCGGGCCCCGCGGGGCTGACGTGAAGGGGCTGGGGGGGTGAGACCTTGCCAGAAGTAAAGGGGACATCAGACACACCGTTTGCTCTTCCTGCCCAGGCTGCAGGTGGCTCTGGGACCCCCAGGGAAGGACCCAGAGTCCCCAGCAGTGCCAGCTCAGGGCATTCAAGCCATTTAGGCTGGGATGGGTGCTGGCGGCTGTTGGTTGCCCTTAATGTTCAGAGGGCTTGAGCGTTAAGAGTTGGCTTTGCTGTGTGACCTTGGACAAGTGGCACTCTCACTCTGGGCTTCTCTTTTCTCACCTGGATATGGGATGACCCCTGCCTCACAGAGCTGACTCAGCACGTGTGCGCAGCTCCCAGCCCCTGCTCATGACAGTTACTGGTTGAATAGCGGCCTCTGCTGTGTCCCCTGCCCTGCCGGGGGCCGAGTCCCTCCGTCCCAGCTGAGAGAGGCCCGTGGTGTGCGTGGGACTTCCTGAGCCTGGCGCCCTGTGTGGTTTGGCTGGACTGAGGTCAAGTTGCTGTGCTCAGTTTCTGTGAGTGGCTGTGTTTCCCGTGTCACCGCCTCTGACAGCCGTGCGTGACAGAGACTGAGGGCGGCAAGGCTCTGGGGGCTTCCTGACCCCTGTGGCTCCCCACGCCCGGCGCCCTGTGCAGAGCCCCTGGTGGCTCCTGGGAGCCGAGGGGAGAGCCAGCCGATCCGTCCAGGCGCTCAGGCCCTGGCTCCGTAAGGGACCCGGCCAGACGGGGGGCTCGCCTGGGCTTGGGCCGCTGGCGCTCTGACGCAGCGGCGGGAGCATCTCGTGTCCAGGCATCCTGTTTTCACAGGGCCGGGGCGGGGGGCGCAGGAGTGGGGGCCTGGACCTCTGCGGCCCGCCTCTCCGCGCTCAGCCCACTTCACAGGGCTGCCCTGAGCATCTGGGGCAGCACGGCCCGCTGGCGCTGTCCCGGCCCCGTCTCCAGCCCAGGGCGAGGGATGAGGCCTGAACTCGAGTCGAGTCTGTTTGCCACATGCCCCCTAAGGAAGCCCTTTAGTTCCTTCATCAGCAGCCTCTGGCCAGGCCCCTCGGGACCACCGGTCATCAGGTCTGGGAGTCTGGGTCTGATTGGCCATGCGGGGCGGGCCAGGTGGGCGAGGGGCCAAGGCAGGAAGGCGCTGGTTTTGTCACCCCGCCCCAACACTCCAGTCCTCCAGCCTGGCCAGTGCCAAGCCCAGGCGATGGCTGCTGTGGCTTTGTCCTCAAGAGGCCCCCTGGGCCGCACAGGGGTCAGCGGACGCAGTGGGCCTGCTTCGGGATGACGGTGGCACGCTGGTCCACTCCGGTCAAGGGAGCACGGCCTGCCGAGGGCTGGAGCATGGGCCTTCCGAGGGGGCCGGGGATGGAGGGCAGGACCGCCTGCTCGGGGCCACTGCAGGACCCAGACTGGAGCGGTGACCCCGTCAAGATAAAGGGGCTCCTACTCGGGAGCTTGCTGAATGAGCACCTTCCAGACCTCGGCACGGTTCCACCTGCGTCCTGACTGGAGTGCTCGCTTGACGTCCTCAGGCGAAGGCCCTCTGTCCGCGGCCCCCGCAGCCCGGCCCCGGGCCTGGAGAAGGGCCTGCCTTGCCCGTGCTCAGGAAGGAAGGGCCACCGGCTCAGGCAGACCCGGAGCCGTGCAAGGTCGGCTCAGAGGGTCCTCGGGCCCTCACGGGCACGCTCCTGCACCAGCCCGAGGGTCCGGCGCTTCGGCAGTGGGGGGGGACCTACAGAGGCTCCCCGCCAGGGTGCAGGGCGAAGGGCCCCACGAGCCAGCCGAGGGGGGGGCTGTGCTGCATGCTCTCCAGCAGCTGCTCCAGCCCCTGCCACGCCCGCCCAACGCTCTCGCGGCTCTGCGCCAGGCGCTCAGCCGGCAGCTCGGTGACGGAGCCGGCGGAGGACATGACGCTGTAGAGCGCGCACAGGCTGCGCCGCGCCTCCCCCACCGGGCGCTGGAGCTCGGCCGGGAGGCCCTGGAGGCCGGCGGCCAGGGCGCTGTAGGCCACGTGCAGCTGCTGCAGGAGCCCGCGGGCCCGCGACAGCGCCCCGGCGGCCAGCGCCTGCGGGAGGAAGGAGTGGGGTGAGCTGCCGTCCGGGGGCAGGAGAGCCCGCCCCCGCCCTGAGTACGCACCTCTCGGTCACTGGCATCCGCCACGTGGCTGCTCGGACCCCGCTCTGGCCCCGGCTGCGCTTCTGGAACCTGCTTGGCCGTTTCAATCTGGAAAGAGAGCCCAGCAGAGGAACGATGGCTTGTTGGCAGGGACCTTTCACACACTCCCTGGGGCGCCACGAGGGCCTGGGCGGGCATCCTGGCCGGGCCCGAGCCTCGTGTCAAGACCTTTCCTGTGGTGCGGTGGACAGGCCACCAGGTTAGAGCCGGCCACACAGGACGCACTGTCTCACGTAAAGAGGCAGGGTCCACGTTCCCCGCGAGGTCATCTGGGAGATGGACTGTCACTTGGATGGGTCCTGTCGCTGCCCAGCTCCAAACCCTCCCATGGCTCCCCAGTGCGCTTTGGCTCAAACCCAGCTCCTCACATGGCCTACGTGGTCTGGCGCCCAGAACGTCTCAGACCTCATTTCCCGCGGATACCCCAGCGTGCTCTCTGCTCTGGCCACACTGACCCGCTTTGTCCCCTGACCACTTGCGGCCGTGGCTGCCTGTTCAGGCCGGAGCGTGCTTCCTCCACCCCTTCCCCTGGGCCCTTCACCCTCAGCTCCAGGTTCCCTCCAGGCAAAGCTTCCTGGCCACCCAGTGCGGTGGCCCCAGCCGCTCCTCCGTGTCCCCTGCTAAAATTCTCCGAGGCCTCCTGGGTCTTCTCACGTCCCATGTCTGGCCTGACGGCAGACCCCGGCCGCTCTGCTTTGGAAACACATCTGGAACGCAGCTGCCTCCTGCCCCGACTGGTGCGATTCCCAAGGCCCCGTCGTCCCTTGCCGGGAGTTCTGCAGAATCCTCCTCGCTCAGCTGCCGGCTCCGGGCCGCCACCCCCCTGGCCCGTCCTCCCACAGCAGCCAGAACGATCCCCTTAAACAAAACCTACTTTGGACCAGGCCACTCCTCGGCTCGTGGTCCTGGGCACCGCGGCCTGAGCAGCATCCTTGGCCCCACCCACTCGATGCCAGGAGCTCCCCCAGTGTGACAGCCACAGATGTCCCCAGACTATGGCCCGGAGTCCCCTGGGGGTAGGATTGTCCCTGTTGAGACCCTCTGGATTGGAACAGTGGTCCTCAGGCTGCGGTTCACCACAGACCCCTGGGGCGCACCTCACGGATCCTGATTCGGGGAGCACTCCCGGCTCTCCACCACCCACGTAGGCGGGACTATCATACAGCTAAGCCCCGGGACCTTGGGAACTCGGAGGTCCTCAGAGCCGGTGGCCATCGCCATCTGCATCAGGGGTTCTGCTCGCCTTCCTGCCGTGCGCGTCAGCCCCCACCCCCACCCTGAGAACGAGGGGGCACGAGTGTCGGGGGAGAGCAGGCCCGCTTGCCAGGCGTCCGACCCGCGGGCATCCAGGTCACCTCCAATTGGGTCCTTTCTCGCATCACTGAACCCCCACCGTGTCCCCACTGTCGCCCCGTCACCCTGGCCCCTGCTCTGCTCCTGGGACACATCCAGCTTGTTCTCAGGGCGCTGTCCAGCCTTGGGCCCCCTCGGCATTCCCGACATAGCTCAGAGGAACACCCGCTGCCCGGGCAGACCCTCGTGTGCTTTATTTGCATCCCCCTGCTGTCTCCCTCCCTGGGACGTGGGCCCCTGAGAGCAGGTCCGTGGCTGTCGTGGTGGCCACCGGGCGTGCTCTGTCAGTGTCAGTGGAGGGGACGGGACGGGAGGGCCTGAGATGTCCTGAGGAAGACGCCCGCCGGAGGGGTGGGGGCGGCTCTTACCAGCCTGAAGGAGTCCTCCAGCTGGGCCAGCGCCGCCCTGGCCTGGAACTGGCCGTGCTGCAGGTGGCTCAGCGCGTGCTCGAAAGCCCGCTGGCGGAAGCCGGGGGCTAGGTCACCCAGACGCACGAAGTAGCTGCCGTGGTCGGCCGCGGGCACCCTCGGCCCGGGCTGGGAGGCAGCCAGCTGAGCTGGAAGGGAAGACGGCCTGACTCGATCTGCCAGGCCCCTCGGGCATCGGGGGCGTGGGTCACACAGACGACAAGCCCCCACTAGGAGCGGGGACCCGGGCCCCAGCCTCTCCTGTTCTCACCTTGCTCCTCGGCGTCCATGGGCTGGAAGATGTCCCCCAGGTCCTCCAGCTCGTCCCGGAGCACCGCGAAGCCTGTGGCTCCTTCACGACTGCCCGTGGGGGCCACGTGCCCTGCAGCCTCCCTGCCCAGGGTGGCCCCTTCGGGGAATGTCGCCACAGTGGACACAGGGCCCTTGGTGCCGGCAGTGGCTTGCCCGGCAAGGTCCAGGCCTGAGCACAGAGGGTCCGGGGGGCTGGAGACCCCGCAGGAGACAGCCGGTTGGGGGCTGAGAACAGTTTGTTCCCCTCCTTTGTCTGGGGCCCTGGAACTGGTCAGTACACCCCAGGCGGGGTCCTGGGCACCAGGTAACCAATTTTGGATGGCGCCAAGGCCGGTCTCCATGGCCCCCTTGGCCGCGCTGCCTGCCCTGGGGAGCCCAGCGGACATGGCATCTTTGGTGCCAATCAGGGCATCCTTTGAAGTGTCCAGGCCCCCCTGGACGGCCCCTCTGGCCACATTCACGGTACTGGTCACTCCACTGCAGAAGGTGTCCTTGGTGCCAGGCAGCACAGTCTTAGTGGTGTTGATCCCAGTCTGGACGGCCCCCTTGGCCACACCCATGGCCCCAGTGAGCCCAGTGGACACAGTGTCCTTGGCGCCCGTGAGGACAGTCTTGGTGGTGTCCATGCCCATCTGGACGGCCCCCTTGGCCACACCCATGGCCCCAGTGAGCCCAGTGGACATGGCATCCTTGGTGCCTGTGAGGACGGTCTTGGTGGTGTCCACGCCAGTCTGGACGGCCCCCTTGGCCACACCCATGGCCCCAGTGAGCCCAGTTGACATGGCGTCTTTGGTGCCTGTGAGGACAGTCTTGGTGGTGTCCATGCCGGTCTGGACAGTGCCCTTGGCCATGTTCACTGCCCCTGTGAGCCCAGTGGACACTGTGTCCTTGGTGCCCATGAGGACAGTCTTGGTGGTGTCCATGCCAGTCTGGACGGCCCCCTTGGCCACACCCATGGCCCCAGTGAGCCCAGTGGACACTGTGTCCTTGGTGCCTGTGAGAACGGTCTTGGTGGTGTCAACTCCAGTCTGGACAGCGCCCTTGGCCACACCCATGGCCCCAGTGAGCCCAGTTGACATGGCGTCTTTGGTGCCTGTGAGGACAGTCTTGGTGGTGTCCATGCCGGTCTGGACAGTGCCCTTGGCCATTTTTACTGCCCCTGTGAGCCCAGTGGACACTGTGTCCTTGGTGGCCGTGACGACGGTCTTGGTGGTGTCCATGCCGGTCTGGACGGCCCCCTTGGCCACACCCATGGCCCCAGTGAGCCCAGTGGACACTGTGTCCTTGGCGCCCGTCAGGACGGTCTTGGTGGTGTCAACTCCAGTCTGGACAGCGCCCTTGGCCACACCCATGGCCCCAGTGAGCCCAGTGGACATGGCGTCTTTGGTGCCTGTGAGGACAGTCTTGGTGGTGTCCATGCCGGTCTGGACAGTACCCTTGGCCATGTTCACTGCCCCTGTGAGTCCAGTGGACACTGTGTCCTTGGTGCCCGTGAGGACAGTCTTGGTGGTGTCCACGCCGGTCTGGACAGCGCCCTTGGCCACACCCATGGCCCCAGTGAGCCCAGTGGACACTGTGTCCTTGGCGCCTGTCAGGACGGTCTTGGTGGTGTCCATGCCAGTCTGGACGGCCCCCTTGGCCACACCCATGGCCCCAGTGAGCCCAGTGGACACTGTGTCCTTGGCGCCTGTCAGGACGGTCTTGGTGGTGTCAACTCCAGTCTGGACAGCGCCCTTGGCCACACCCATGGCCCCAGTGAGCCCAGTGGACACTGTGTCTTGGGTGCCTATGAGGACGGTCTTGGTGGTGTCCATGCCCGTCTGGACGGCCCCCTTGGCCACACCCATGGCCCCAGTGAGCCCAGTTGACATGGCGTCTTTGGTGCCTGTGAGGACGGTCTTGGTGGTGTCCATGCCGGTCTGGACAGTGCCCTTGGCCATGTTCACTGCCCCTGTGAGCCCAGTGGACACTGTGTCCTTGGCACCTGTCAGGACGGTCTTGGTGGTGTCAACTCCAGTCTGGACGGCCCCCTTGGCCACACCCATGGCCCCAGTGAGCCCAGTGGACACTGTGTCCTTGGCGCCTGTCAGGACGGTCTTGGTGGTGTCAACTCCAGTCTGGACAGCGCCCTTGGCCACACCCATGGCCCCAGTGAGCCCAGTGGACATGGCATCCTTGGTGCCTGTGAGGATGGTCTTGGTGGTGTCCACGCCAGTCTGGACGGCCCCCTTGGCCACACCCATGGCCCCAGTGAGCCCAGTGGACACTGTGTCCTTGGCGCCCGTCAGGACGGTCTTGGTGGTGTCAACTCCAGTCTGGACAGCGCCCTTGGCCACACCCATGGCCCCAGTGAGCCCAGTGGACACTGTGTCCTTGGTGCCCATGAGGACAGTCTTGGTGGTGTCCATGCCAGTCTGGACGGCCCCCTTGGCCACACCCATGGCCCCAGTGAGCCCAGTTGACATGGCGTCTTTGGTGCCTGTGAGGACAGTCTTGGTGGTGTCCATGCTGGTCTGGACAGTACCCTTGGCCATGTTCACTGCCCCTGTGAGCCCAGTGGACACTGTGTCCTTGGTGGCCGTGACGACGGTCTTGGTGGTGTCCATGCCAGTCTGGACAGCGCCCTTGGCCACACCCATGGCCCCAGTGAGCCCAGTGGACACTGTGTCCTTGGCGCCCGTCAGGACGGTCTTGGTGGTGTCAACTCCAGTCTGGACGGCCCCCTTGGCCACACCCATGGCCCCAGTGAGCCCAGTGGACACTGTGTCCTTGGTGCCTGTGAGGACAGTCTTGGTGGTGTCCATGCCGGTCTGGACAGTGCCCTTGGCCATGTTCACTGCCCCAGTGAGCCCAGTGGACACTGTGTCCTTGGTGGCCGTGACGACGGTCTTGGTGGTGTCCACGCCGGTCTGGACGGCCCCCTTGGCCACACCCATGGCCCCAGTGAGCCCAGTGGACACTGTGTCCTTGGTGCCTGTGAGGACAGTCTTGGTGGTGTCCATGCCGGTCTGGACAGTGCCCTTGGCCATGTTCACTGCCCCAGTGAGCCCAGTGGACACTGTGTCCTTGGTGCCTGTGAGGACAGTCTTGGTGGTGTCCATGCCGGTCTGGACAGTGCCCTTGGCCATGTTCACTGCCCCAGTGAGCCCAGTGGACATGGCATCCTTGGTGCCCGTGAGGACGGTCTTGGTGGTGTCCACGCCGGTCTGGACGGCCCCCTTGGCCACACCCACTGCTCCTGTGACCCCGCTGGCCACAGCCTCCTTGGTGCCCGTCAGTGCAGATCGGGTCATGCCCACACCTCCCTGGACCACGCCTTTAGCCGAGTCCACCACAGTGGCCACCCCGGACGAGATGGCATCCTTGGTCTTGGTCATCTTGGAGCACACCAGGTCCTTCGCCCCAGACATCATCTGGTGAGAAAGGACACCTGTGGTCAAGAACCGAGCTGGGCGGCACCCCGCCCCCGACCCCTCCGCCGCGCTGATCCCTGAGGTGACTTGGGGAGAGGGACCTGTCACCAGAGGCCCTGCCCCTCACCTGCCGCCCTGACATCCATCCCTCACCAGTTTTATCCAGCCATGATGGGGACCCGGCCTTCCAGGCCCTGTCACAGTGCCAGTCCTGCCCTGATTCACTAGCTCCCCGTCGCTGACAGCGGGGTCCTGCCACCTCTGGGACCCTTGCCGAGGTCCCTCGGCCTTGGGCTCAGCAAGCCATCGAATTGCATCGAATTGCTCCTCTCGCCTAATCTGTCCGTGGCCTGTTTTGAGGCCGCTTTCCCCGTTACAGCGGGAAGAATTGCTCCTTAAAGTGAACGTGGTCGCGACAGAGGAGGGGAGCGGCGTTCCGTTCAGAAACCGACAGCCGGCCCAGCGCGGGGCCGAGGGCGGGTGTGGGCCACAGGAGGCCATCTGCTTTGACCTATCCGAGTGCTCCCCTCCTGCCCCTCTCCCAGCACTGACTCGAGCCGAGCAGGCACCTCGGGCTCCGTGCCTGCAGAGACCCGCGTTCGAATCCCGGGCTCTCCCCCGCTCGCTGTGTGACCTCAGGCAAGCCACCTCCCCTCTCTGAGCCTGGGACGGAAACAGCACCTCCTTCAAGGGTTGTGGCGGAAATGAGTCCAGGGGCCTGACGCCCTTTGCAGGCGGCAGGTGCTCAAGGAAAGCGAGCGCAGAGGAGCCGCGGAGGAGGGGCACAGGGTGGCCTTGGCTGCTGGGGTCCCTTTTAATTTGGGCCAGAAATTCCTGCTGCCGGTGAGCCTGGTGGTTCTCCAACCTCTGAGATGCTCCACCCTCAGAGCTGGCCGAGCTGAGGCCAGAGGCGAGTCAAGGAAGACTCTAGAGCAGGGCACGTGCTGGGCGGAAGAGCCGTGTCGGGTCTCTGCCAGCCTGCCGTGGCCCTCAGCTGCCTTACGTCGGGGACACCATAATGCGGACAGTCCCCGTTTATCCAGGACCGAGTGTCAGTGATTATTCACCCTCTGACCGCCCAAGGTTCGAATCTCACGCTCCCATGAAGGTCCTGCTGTGTGACCTTCGGCAGGTGGCTCGCCTTCTCTGTGCTTCAGCTACCATGTGGGGCCTTATTGCTCCCTTCGCCGCGGGGCGGCTGGGAGGGTTAAAGCATGTAGCCCGCACCCTGACCCATGACGGGGTGTCCGTCCCCTCCTTGGGCAGGAACTGAGACGTCCCGGGAGGGCCCCCAGGGAGGCGGAGACCATCAGCCCAGCCCCGCTCACCTTGTCCGCAGGTGGCAGCAGCTTCGCCCCGCTGGCTGTCTGCTCCGGCTCGGTGGCTGCTGTGGGGACAGGAACCGGTCAGGCACCCCAGGGAGGGCGCGGGACGCGGGCTGGCACCAGCTGCCCGTTGCACAATCTACGGGCACAGCCCGAAAGGTCAGGCGTGTCCCAGCCAGCCCGCCAGGGACAGCAAGAGGTGACATCGCCGGCCGGGGACCGGGCTCCCCCGACCCCCCGGGGCCTCGTGGCCTGGAGTAGGGGCTCCCTGGGGTTTCGTGGGTGCTGGGTGCCCACGCAGGGGCCCCGGGGAGGGGAGTCGGGCCGCCCGCTCCGCCCCCTGCAGCTGGCGGCCTCGGGTATGTGGAGCAGGCGTCAGCTGCCTGCGGCTCGGGGCCCGGAGTGAGGCCCAGTGGGCAGCGCCCCAGCCCCGGGCCTCCGTGCGCCAGCCCCTCCGCGGGCCCCGGGGCCACCCGGGCACCCCCGCTCGGCAGCTGGAGGGTGGGAGGCCCCCCGGGCTGTGTGACCCCAGGGAAGCCTCCACCCCTCTCTGGGCATCCTCGATGAGCCCCTGGTCCACGGAGCTGGGAGCTCGGAAGCAGGGGACGGGGTGGAGAGCCCGGGGTGTGGCGGGCTGTGCTCACGCCCCCACTCTCGCTGGTGAGGCCACCTTGGGCCACTCCCCTGCCGTATTTCTGCCTCAGTTTCCCCATCTGGCACTCAATGAGCATGCCAGCCTTGTAGCGTCTGTTGAGACGGTGCGGGCATATACGAAGTGCCCCCCCAGATGGCCAGAAGTCCCAGCTCGGGGACTCCTGTTCCCGGGGTCCGCTCCAGAGCCCCCCAAGGAGCTGTCCGCTCACCCTGAGCCGGAGGCTGGGCCGCCTCGGGGGCGGGCGCGCCGGCAGCATCCGGGACCGGCTGGGCCTCTTTCGCTGCGCCATGGGCGTTGGCCACCAGGTTCCGGGCAGAGCTGAAGCCAGGCAGGGACCCGAAGAAGCTGCTCAGCGTCTACACGGGGCAGGGACAGCGTGAGCAGGGCCAGCCCGCGGCGGGGGAAGCATCGGGCAGCGCCTCGGGCCCTCGCTGCTGGGCGACCTCAGGAAAGTGTCTTAGCCACTCTGAGCCGCAGTTTCCTCGCCTAGGCAGTGGGCAGATTCCGCCCACCTCCCACGTCCTCTGGGACGTCCTCCTTCCTTCCACAGCCCCCGTTTCACAGATGGGGATACTGAGACTCAGAGAGGGGCCGTGGCTGGTCCAAGGTCACACAGTGGGAAAGGAGCTGAGGTCTGCGTGAGCCGCCCACCCCCGCCGTCCAGCTGGGGGCAGCAGGGAAGACTCGGCCCTCCCCACCCCGGGAAGCCCCTCCGGCCCCCAGGACAGAGGGGTCACCCTCCCCGGGTGCCGGGGGTCCCCAGGCCGCCACCCCGCCCCTCACCTTGCCCTTGGGTTTGGGGGGATCGCGGCCTCCTCCTTGAGCAGACATGGTGAGCCTCACGCTGCTGGAAGGGGGCAGAGAGGTGGCGTGACGGGGGGCTCAGGGCCCTGTCCCCAACCCCCGGGACCCTCGCGGCCCAGCGGCCCGACCACCCCCCCAGGCCTGGCCTCCCCCGGTGTGGCTCACCCGGGCTGCACGCCCTGGCCCTCAGAGCGACGGGTGGCGCAGCGGCTGCCTCTGCCCTCGGCTCCCAGGCCTTATAGGGTCTGGGCGGCAGGGCTGGCGGCCAGTGGCGGGGCGGGCCCGGCGGTCATGTGTCGCCCTCCCTCCCGGCCCAGCGTGGGCCCGGGCCCAGCACCTTTCCCCTGCTCCCCGCGCCAGGCGGCCTCTGCCCATGGGGCCTCCCCCGCCCCGTTCCCATCCATGACACGGGTGCAGTCCAGGTCACGCCTCGGCCAGGTCACCGTCCTTGTGCCTCAGTTTCCCCCTCCAGACTCTTCATCAGGGCCCACAAGGTCCTGCTCCCTCACTGCCCTCGCTCCTCCCTCTGTCCCAGCCACATGGGCCTCCTCGCTGCTCCTCCCACACGCCAGGCCCGGGCCTGCCCCAGGGCCTTTGCACCTGCTGTGCCCTCTGCCTGGAGCTCTGTTCCCCAGACACCCACGCAGCTCCCTCCCTCACCTCCGTCAGGCCTGTTTGGTTCTCTGCTGCGGCCCCCACCATAGAACAGTACCTGGCATACAGTTGGCGCTTAATAAATGTTTCGCCAAATGGGCCAACTCCTAGGGTGGTTGCGAGCTGAAGCGAGATCACGCTGTCTGCCCTGGCGCTGGGGCCCCGGCAGGTGCTCCGCCAGTGCTGGTTTCGCATCGTGGGGGCTGAAAGGGGGCCGTGGGGAGTGGGGCTGTCCCCAGCCAGGCGGGGGGCGGGGGGGGGGCGTCACCCTCCAGAAGGGACTTCGCTTGAGAGAGAGGCGGGTGCAGCCCACGGTGGGCACGGCAGAGCGGGGGGCGCCCTGGGAGGGAGACGCGCCCCTGGGGGGCTTGAGCCAACTCAGGCGGCTTCCTGGAGGAGGCGTCCAAGGCCTGGTGTGAACCCGGGCGCAGGCGGCAGGGGAGGGATGCGCACGCTCCCCGGGCTCAGTTTCCCCCTGTGCGCCCTGGGCCCGGCGCCCAGCCCCGTGCTGGTGGCTCTGGGCCCTGCGCTGGGAGCGGGGAGAGTCCACCTCGGGGTGGTGACCCCCAGGCCGTCTCCCTGGAGCCGTGGCTTTGTTTGCCAAACAGTCGGGGAGCAGAAGCTCGGGGCCGGGCCCTCTCCTCCCCGCCAACGCTTCCCAAAGGTGGCGGGAGGGGGGACCCTGGCGTGCCCGCCCCGCCCCCCCCCCCCCCACAGGGCTGCCACAGCACAGAGCGGAAAGCAGCCAAAATAACCCAAATCCGCATAAACACTGAGTCAGGGCTGCCCTCCTCCACCCGCAGCCCTCCAGGCTCCCCTCCCTCGGGGAGAAACCGAGTCCTCCCCGCGGCCCCCCAGGCCCCGCACGACCTGCCCCGTCCCCTCCCCGCCCTCCCTCCTCCCTCTCTCCCCCTCCTCCCTCTGCTCCAGCCACATGATCCTCCTCACTCTTCCTCCCACGCGCCTGCCCCAGGCCCTTTGCACAGGCTGTGCCCTCTGCCTGGAATGCTCTTCAGTCTTTGCTGATATGTCGCCTCCTCAGAGAGGGCTCCCTGGCTCCCCTCCTCTTGTTTAAAATGCACGCCCCCTCCTCGTCCCCCCGCACACTCTCCATCTCTCTCTTTCTCATCCTCTGCTGACGCCAAGACAAGTAATCCCCTCCTTTGTCTTGTCTTCACTCTGTCGCTCCTGCGGCGTCATCGTAAGGGCCTGGAGGGCCGGATTCTGTCGGTTTTGCCCACCGCCCCGTGTCCCCAGGGCGAGGAGCTGCCCGGCACACAGCAGGCGCTCAATTAGTGTGGAATGAACAGACAGTGAGGGAATGACGCGTTTACTGGGATCGGGCCCCTGCCACCCTCGGACCCTGTCAGGGAGGAGGGAACGGGGGCAGCGTGCCCGCCCGGCTGGAGGCGAGGCCCCCCGCTTCCAGTTGTCCCCCCTCGCCTCTGTCTGGTCTAACCCGTCCCCCCACTGCCTCAGCCTGAGCCGCTCCCTCTGCCCAAATGCCCTTCTGCCCGGCCCGCCAGGAGCCCAGCTGCAGGGGCTCTAAGGCCGGGAGAAAGGACTTGGCGCCCCAAGAAGGGGGCGCTCCCGCTGGGGTGGAATCAGGGGGAGCTTCCTGGAGGAGGCGGCGTAGGGTCTGGGACTGGGTCAGATGTGTTTGAGAAATGGGTGGGGGAGTGGGAAGGGCATTCCCGGCGCAGCCTGAGCAAAGGCCCTGGGGTCAGGGAATGTGCCCCGTTCAGTGGGAACGCAGCGGGGTCTGTGCAGGGCCCATGGATGAAGCCGGAAGTCCTGGGTGGGGACTTGGACGTTTGGTCTGAGGGCCACAGGGAGCCATGGAGGGTCCTGAGCAGGGGCAGGGAGGTGAATCAGCCGGCGGGAAGTGCTCCGGGCTCCCAGGGCTGCCCCTGGGCCGGGTCCCAGGGAAGCCAGGGGCCACCCTGACCTCATTGCCGCAGACCGTGGTTTCCCAACACCCCGCCCAGCCGCGGGGGAGCCTGGGGGACAGCCGAGAATGCGGTCAGAGGACAGGAGGGCCCCCGCGAGACGGGCCTGTGGCTCTTGGCCTGCTTCTGTCTGCCCCATCGCGACGGGCGCAGCTGGAGAAACACAGCGGGTCCAGGGAGGTGGGCACAGGAGGGGTCACCCCGTCTGACTTCTTCCTCCTCCTGATCCTGCAGTTGCCGAGGAGTTCATTTACACTAAAGTGTGAACAGCTGCCAGTCCAGGAAGCTGCAGCTGAGTGCTTGACCCAGGTGGGCTGGGTGCTCCTGGCGGAACGGCAGACAGGGCGACAGGCTGGTCAGGGAGGCCTCGCTCCGTCCAGATCTCGAACCCCGGCTCGTGCCACGCAGACACGCACCCCTGCGGCCCCCAGTGCCTTGCCACCGAGTCCCACCCGGGCCAGAACAGAGGCCACAGCACAGGCCTTTGGACGACACGCAGCCCGTTTATTCTGGAGAGCCACCCCTGAGCGGCCAGGCGGGCGGGTCTGGCAGGCCCAGCAGGTGCGGCGGGCGTCCGTGGGGACCCGTCAGGCCAGAGGGACGAGCTGGGGGCGGGGGGCGGGGGGCGCTCACTTCTCAAAGCTGGACACACTGTGTGCTTCTCTGGGGGGGGTTGATCCGCTTCTTGGGGTGGGGGCCACAGACAGATGCACCCAGCTTGGGGACCTGACTTGGGGGTTCAGGTCCCCACGTGTCCAAGGGGGAGGCCGGGGAGGGCGTGCGTGCTATCATGACCCGGTCCAGGGTTCCGAATTCGGCCACACCGCGAGTCCCCGCCGGGGCCGAGGGCCAGGCGCTGGTGTTGGCGCCCGGGTGCGGCCACCAGGGGGCCGCAGGGACCTGGAGGCCAGGAGGGTGGCCGGTGCGCTCAGAAGTCCAGCTCGGGCATCAGGGTGTGCTCGGGGCGGCGCGGCTCCGCCTCCTCCTCCGGGATGTCCCCCGGGAGGTCCCCCGGGAGGTCGCCGTGCTGCGCGCGCCAGGCCCTCTGCTGCGCCGGCCAGTCTAGGTGCGCCCAGCGCGGGTCGGGGCCCCCCACGACCTCGTCCACCAGCGCCTCCAGGTCGGGCGGGGGCGCGGGCCGCTCCACGAGGACGGGCGCGAAGGGCCCCACGAGCCAGGGCAGCGGCACGGCGCGCAGCGCCAGCTCCAGCAGCTCGTCCACGCAGGCGTGCGCGCGCGCCACCCGGCCCCGGCCCTCGGCCAGCGCGGCGGCCGGCACGTCCCCGAAGCGGCGCGCGTCGGCGAAGGCGGCCTGCAGGGCGTGGGCGCTGCGCCGCACCTCCGCCACCCGCTCCTGCGCCCCGGCGGGCAGGCCGCGCACGCTGCTCTCCAGGGCGTCCACCGCGCCCTGCAGCTCCCGCATCAGGCTCCGCGACAGCGCCAGCGTCTCCAGCTCCGCCTGCGGGGGGCGGGGGCGGGACGGGGCTCAGCGCCCCCGCAGACGCGCGCCGGGACCGCGCCCTTGCCTCGGTTTCCCCGGGGACACACAGCGGGACTGTGGCTCTGCCTCAGTTTCCCCCTGGACCCACAACAGAACTGATGCCCTGTCTGTTTCCCCAGTGGACACCCAATAGGACTGCATCACCCTGCCTCAGTTTCCCCTTGGACGCCCAATGGGACCATCGCCCTGCCTCGGTTTCCCCGAGGACACACAGCGGATGCGCGGTCCCAATCGCCTCGTTTCCCAACACAGGATGCCTGGTTCCCAGGACACACAGCAGGACCCGTGCCCTGCCTTGGTTTCCCCAGGGCACACAATGGGACCGTGGCTCTGCCTCAGTTTCCCCCATGGACACACACTAGAGAACTATTGTCTGTTTCCCCAGTGGACACCCAATAGGACTGCATCACCCTGCCTCAGTTTCCCCTTGGACGCCCAATGGGACCATTGACCTGCTTCGGTTTCCCCGTGGACACCCAGTGTGATAGTCTCCCTGCCTCAGTTTGCCCAGGGACGCATGACAGAGCCATCAACCTGCCTCAATTTCCCCAGGGACACCCAGTGGGATCATTGCGCTGCCTCAGTTTCCCCAGGGACACACAAGGGGACCCGCGCCCTGCCTCAGTTTCCCCGAGGACACACAGCAGGACCGTGCCCTGCCTGTTTCCCCGGGGACAACAGCGGGACCATCAGCCTGCCTTGTTTTCCCCGGGGACACACAGCGGGACCATCGCCCTGCCTCGGTTTCCCCGAGGACACACAGCGGGACCCGTGCCCTGCCTTGGTTTCCCCGGGGACACACAGCGGGACCATCAGCCTGCCTCGTTTTCCCCGGGGACACACAGCGGGACCATCAGCCTGCCTCGTTTTCCCCAAGGACACACAGCGGAAATGCGCCCTGCCTCGGTTTCCCCAAGGACACACAGCAGGACCCGTGCCCTGCCTTGGTTTCCCCAGGGGCACACAATGGGACCGTGGCTCTGCCTCAGTTTCCCCCATGGACACACACTAGAGAACTATTGTCTGTTTCCCCAGTGGACATCCAATAGGACTGCATCACCCTGCCTCGGTTTTCCCTTGGACACCCAATGGGAACATTGACTTGCTTTGGTTTCCCCATCGACACCAAGTGTGATAGTCTCCCTGCCTCAGTTTCCCCAGGGACACCCAGTGGGATCATCGCCCTGCCTCAGTTTCCCCAGGGACACACTGTGGGACCTGCACCCTGCCTCGGTTTCCCCGGGGACACACAGCGGGACCCGTGCCCTGCCTCGGTTTCCCCGGGGACACACAATGGGACCGTCGCCCTGCCTTGGTTTCCCCGGGGACACACAGCGGGACCCGTGCCCTGCCTGGGTTTCCCCGGGGACACACAGCAGGACCGTCACCCTGCCTAGGTTTCCCCGGGGACACACAGCGGGACCTGTGCCCTGCCTCGGTTTCCCTGGGGACACACAATGGGACCGTGGCTCTGCCTCAGTTTCCCCATGGACACATGACAGAACAATCGCCCTGCCTCAGTTTCCCTGGGGACAGATAATGGGACCTAAGCCCTGCCTCAGTTTCCCTGGGGACACAGAGCAGGACCCGCGCCCTGCCTCATTTTCCCCAGGGGCACACAACGGGACTGTGGCCTTGCCTCAGTTTCCCCATGGACACATGACGGGACAATCGCCCTGCCTCAGTTTCCCCCATGGATACCGAATGGGACCATCAACCTGCCTCAGTTTCCCCACGGACACCCATTGGGATAGTCTTCCTGCCTCAGTTTCCATCAGGGACACAGGACAGAGCCATCAAACTGCCTCAGTTTCCCCCGTAGACACCCAATAGGACTGTTGACTTGCCTCAGTTTCCCCGTGGCCACCCCAGCCAGCTGACCTCAGCCCTTGGTTCGCGACAGCTCGAGCCCAGCCCCTGGCAACCCTGGGCCGATCCAGAACCTTCTCCACCCCCCCGCCCTCCCCCATCCCACCTGGCTTTGGCGGCGGAGGCGGCCGTTCTCGGGGGGGCGCTGGCTCCAGTCCTCCCACAGCTCGTGCACCTTCCCGGGCCGGGCCGGGGCGGCGGGGGTGGCCCCGCACTGCACGCAGTCGATCTGCGGGGTGGCGGGCGGGGGTCGTCAGAGCGGGAGGGTTTGGGGGCGGGGTCCGCTGTGCGAGCTTCTGCGCCTCCTGGCCCGGCCGGGTCGCCCGCCCGCTGTGTCCTCTGTCCTCAGAGTCACCGCCCGCCCTTCGCCCACGCTGGGGCCTCCGCCAGGTGCGCTGTTCCCTCCACCCATCCTCCAGGGCGAGCCTGGTGGGGACATCACCCCCTCCAGGAAGCCTTCCCTCCCCTTCCGGCTGGGCAGGTCCCTCCTCTGGGTCCCGCCACACCTGGCGCGTCCCCCGTCACAACCCTGATCCCCCTACTGGGCTGTGAGTGTCCCGAGGGGGCCACTGTGCCCTCAGCGCCAGGACAGGGCAGGTATCAGACGATGAACAGAAATAAGCCATCGTCCATCACCCCCTGGAATATTACGCAGCCATGAAAAGGAAGGAAACTGACACCTGCTCCCACGTGGACGGACCTGGAGGACGTGACGCTCAGTGACGTGAGCCAGACACAGAAGGACACACTGTGTGGTCCACTCACAGGAGGTCCCCAGAGGAGCCACAGCCACAGAGACAGAAAGCGGATGGGGGGCCAGGGGCTGGGGGAGGGGCGGGAGTCAGTGTTTCCTGGGGACAGAGCTGCAGTTTGGGGAGATGGAAAGTTCTGGAGACGGATGGAGCGGATGGTGGCACAACCATGTGGATGTGCTTCATGCCGCTGAGCTGTGCGCTTAAAGTGGTTACAATGGTAAACTGCGTGTCGTGTGTTCACCTTGCACACAAACAGCGGGTGTTAGCACAGCGTTGGTGTGAGATCCTCGTACAGCGTTGTGTGGAAAGCATGCGGCATAGTGCCGGGCGCTCAGTTGAGTCATCGAACGAGCATTTATTGAGCTCTTGCTGTGTGCTAGGTGACAGGAGTAGAGCGGTGAACGGGCCAGCCATGCAGTAAGCACTCAATAAATGTCTGTTCAATGATGGAGCAGGTAGGTCCCTGCCCTCATGGAGCCATCAGTCTGGCGGGACGCGATCAACGAGTAAGTGAAGAAGCAGATCACGTGCATTCTAGGAGCAAGAGGCACCAAGAAGGAAAATAAAGTGTGCCAGGCAGAGGGCACAGCGTGTGCAAAGGCCCTGGGGCAGGATCATGCCTGGCATGTTGGAGGAGCAGCGAGGAGGCCCGTGTGGCTGGAGCAGAGGGAGGAGGGAGGGCAGGGAGGGGACGGGGCAGGTCGTGCGGGGCCTGGGGGGCTGGGGGGAGGACTCGGCTTCTCCCCGAGGGAGGGGAGCCTGGAGGGCTGCGGGCGGAGGAGGCGGTCCTGACTCGGGGCTCCCGGGCGCCCTCTGGCGGGGGTTGCGGGGAGCACAGGCTGCAGGGTCCAGGGAGGAGCCGGGCAGCAGGTCCCCAGCCCGCGCTCTCACCAGCTCCAGAGTCTCCTGCAGCTGGGCCAGCGTGTCCTGGGTGTGGTGCTTCCGCTGCCTCAGTTTCCCCAGAGAGTGCTCATAGGCCAGCTGGCGGAGCCGTGCCGACAGGGAGCCCAGGCGCACGAAATAGCCCTGGTGTCTTCTCTGCTCTTCCACCGAGCCCACTTCAGGGCCCTCGGCCTCGGCCGCCAGCGCCGCTGGAGGGTGGGACCCGGGAGCCGGGGGTCAGTGTGGCCACGCCCTCCTCGTCGGCGCCCCCTCCCTCCGGGTCACCCAGCCTCCCCCAGATTCAGTTTCCCTTTAGACGGACCGGCTCAGTTAAGCTTCCCCAAACCCTACTGTCATCAGCCCGTTTTACTGATGGGGTAAACTGAGGCAGGGAGTGGCATAGGCACACAGTAGGTGCTCCATAAATGCCTCGCAGCCCCCCCGCCAAGGAGGGAACACGCTGACATGTTCAGCTCGCGCCATAAGGCGGGGCCGGGAAGTCAGACTGTGTCAGGTCAGCAGATAAGACGCGAAACGTTGGAGAACGTGGGGTATCGGGGAAGATGGGGCAGAATCTGATTGTCACACGCGTGCGACAAATTCAAGCATCTCGTAGGATGCGGGCCGGGGGGCCTCGGAAGCAGACCGGAGCTCTGTGTGTCCCACAGGTCTGCTGTGTGGCTTTGGGCGGGTCCCCGCCCTCTCTGGTCTGTACCCTCCGGGCATGGGGACGGGGCGGGAGGATCCGGGGTGGGGAGGGGAGGACACTGGCCTCACCCAGCTCGTCCTCGGTCATGGGCAGGAAGTGGGCCACCAGCTCCTCCGACTTGCCCAGCACGACATCCACCGCGTGGCTCACTGAGCGCTTCAGCTCCACACTCCAGCGGCGGCCCTGCCGGGCCAGGCCCGCCACGCCCGTCACGCCGCTGGCCACCGCGTCCTTGGCCGAGGTCAACACCTGGTGGGAGGGCCGTGGGTCTCTGGGGCTGAGGGTCAAGGACCCGTCGTGGCCCCTTGCTGGCTCTGTGCCTCAGTTTCTCCTCTCAGGTAAAACGGAGGGAAATCAAACCTCGCCCGCCCCTGGGGGCGCATCGTGAGCACTCAACAGTGTGGGAGCCGATGCTTTCAACCCGACTGGCGGCTTTTGAGGGCGGGTCGGGGACCAGGGACCTCTTCCCTCCCACTCCACCCCCGCAGGTCCCCGCGGGCCGGTCGTGCCGGGTACCGTCTCCGACGGCTCATGGAGAAAAGGCAGCTTTTCCTCCAGTTTGTCGAGGCCCCTGCAGGCGAGGTCATTCACGGTGGCCACTGGAGAGAGAGAGAGAGGCCAGGGCTGAGAGTCGGGGGGACGTCGAGGGAAGAAGGGACACATCGAGGGTCATAGAGGGAGGGGGTGCTGGAGGGAGAGGCAGAGAAAAAGGAGGGGGGCAGAGAGACAGGGAAAGGGACAGAGTAACAGACAGCGAGGACGGCTTGGGGCCACAAGGGGGACCTGGCTGGCCCCCGGGGAGGGGCTGGGGACCCTGAGAGCGAGCGCGTGGGCCACCAGGCTGGGCCCCTCCTCGCCTCCGCCCTGCCACCGGCTGCCGCCAGCACCAAGGTGACTCCTCACCCACGCCCGGCTCAGATGGCTGGGCGAGCAGGCTCAAGGTCACCCCAGCCGGCCGAGAAGGTGTGGGGGCACCCCGGGGACCCCCTTCCTCGGTTGGACGTGAGGTCCCCGCACCAGGTTGGACCCCTGAGCTGGTCACGGGCTCGGGGCAGACGGCGGTGGCGGGCAGGCTGGACAGTGAAGGGACCACGGTGCACCAGGGCATCCAACAGAGAGGGGGCGCAGGTGGCACAGGCAGGCCTGAGCGAGGCTGACACCCCGGTGGCCGGGGGACAGGCGGCCCCAAGGCACGCGCGGACTCGGCGAGACCGAGGAGGGACACCCAGTGCGGGCGGGGTGCACCCCCGGGGCGCGTCCCCCCCGGCCGGTGGCCGAGGGGCGGACTCACGCTGGGGCTGCAGGTGGCTGAGCAGCGGCTGCGCGCGGTCCAGGGCGCGGGCGGTCAGGCCGCACACACAGCGCTCGGCCAGGCGGCACGCGGAGCCCAGCAGCGGGTGGCTGTCCTTGGCGGCCCCGTAGGCATCGGAGACGGCGGCGCACGTGGCCCTGACCAGCGGCAGGGCCGCCACGCGCTGCACCGCGCTCTGCGGGAAGGGGCGGCGTCAGAGGGGGGGCCCCCCCCTGGGGAGAGGTGGGGGGCTCGGCCACACCTCCGCCCGCTTCCCCGCCCGCCCTGGGTGTTGCCTCGGTCTCCCCATTGGTGCCGTGGGTGCTAGGGCTGTGATGGGGGCTCTGGGGCCCTGTCTGATGCGGAGTATCTGCTGTGACTGCTGCTATTATTACTGCCGTCGTTGTTGTTGAAGGGCGCCATGATGGTGGACACAGGCCCAGACGTGGGACAGGGGCGTTGGGCAGAGGCCAGGTAAACCGCTGGTGCTCGGAGAGACCCCCCCCCAACCCCGCCCGGGCCTCGCTGTGCCCCTCGGGGAAATGGGTGGGAGGCGCCACCCCATCCTGGGCCAGTGTCCTTCAAGAAGGTGCTGGAAGCAAGGATGGAGGTCGGGGGTGCCCGGTCTGAAAGCATCCCAGGAGGGCCTCTCCCCACCCCTCCGGGTGCCCCTGCTCCATGGTGGGGGCAGCCCCTCACCTGCTGGTCCTGCTCCCACACGCTGGGTCTGGGGGCCTCGGCCGCCTCGTCTTCTGACATGCCTGCTGCAAAAGGGGGGTCACCGTAGGGGGCAGGGCAGAGCGAGGGAGGGGGCCCTGCACGCGGCCCTCCCAGCTCCCACCCAGGCCTTGGGTTCTCTCCGCGTGGGCTCTGTGACCCAGGCAAGGCTCTTTTCCTCGTGCGGCCTCAGTTGCCTCATCCGCAAAATGGGGTAATAATAAGACCGACCTCAGAGCGTCATGAGGGGCCCGGACAATGCGTGCACGGGGCTCTGCACACAGTAGGTGCACACCAGAGAGCGTCTGGCCGGGGGGGCGCTGTAGTGACTCAAAGCCTGGGCTCTGGGGAGAGAAAGGCCTGGGTTCGAATCCTACCGTGACCTGCTGTGTGACTTTAGGCAAGTGCCTTCACCTCTCTGGACTGTTTTCTCTTCTGCAAAGTGCGGGAGGTCCCAGCCGCCCGTCCCCCAGACAGAACTGCACAAGCAGCCCCTGCAGGGGTGCAGGTGGCAGCTGCGGAATCCCAATACACCCACAGTCCGTTTGACAGGCGGGGAAACTGAGGCACGCAGCGGGTTCAGGCTGGGCCCAAGGTCACTCCGCTAAGCAGGGTCAGAGCGGGGAGTTCGACCTCAGACTCCCCGGCTGCAGTGCTAACCCTGTCCCCACCCCGCGCGCCCTCAGAACCCTGATCCCCGACCAACTGGGTCCTGAGCCTCCGCCAACTGGGCCAAGGGTCTCGGCCACCTGCTCCGGCCCGGCACCCCCTCTCCTCCCCACGCCCCTGGACCCTGTCCCCCGACCCGATCGGGGGGCCCCCGGGCCTGCGTGTGGCACTCACCCGGGCGCGCGCGGCCTCAGCGCCCAAGTGTCCCCGCGGACCCCAGATTCCCACTCGCGTCCCCGCCCCGCGCCGGCTCCCCTGCCTTATAGCGGCTCGGGGGGCGGGGCCTCCGGGGGCTGGCCAATGGGGAGAGGCCTGCGGGGGGCGTGTCTCTGGGGGCGTGGCTCCAGGCTCCTCCCCCTCCCCGGGGCTCTCGGGGCGCTCAGCGGTTGCCACGGCAACCCGGGGACGCCGGATGCTCTAGGATTGCGCTACTTTCGCTGGCCGGGTTTGGCCCCCTGTCACCCTCGCTGCTGTCACCGCGGCGACAGGGGAGGGCACCCACAGCCCCCACCGCCTGGCCAAGTGACCTTGGGCCAGTCCTCAAGGTCTTTCTTTTTACTTTTTTTCAAGTTGCCCTTTAACGAAGCCAGGAGCCAGGCTGGCCCATTCCCTGGAACCCCCGTTTTGCAGAGAAGCAAACCGAGGCTCAGAAAGCTTTAAACCGCCACCTCCAGGGCCCCCAGCGATGGAGGGTTCCGGTTCAAACCCGGCTCTGCCGGGCTCCAGACACCCCTGGCTTTCGTCTCCGTGCCTGCAATGACCACGGACGTGGGCACGACCCTCCTTCCAGGGAGCTGGAGAGAACGAGCATGGCCCCAACCAACCCCCCCAGGGGCCCCCAAATCTGACCCCGGCCCCCAGCATGCCCAACACTGTGTCGGCAGGTGACGACTCAGGCCCTTCGGCCTCTGAGCATCTGTCCAACCCCGTCCAGCCTGCCCACGCTTGCCCTGGGTGACTGTCCCCTGGGTTGTCACCAGCCAGCATGACAAATTGTTTGGAGACCTGAAGCAATCCGGTTTAATTTCAACCTTCCTCGGGACGAGCGCTGGCAGGAATCCACCCGTAAAATGACACCCGGGCCACGGTCAGGATTTTCTTTCCAGTTAAGCCCCGGGAAGGGGGAGGGGGCGGAGCAGCTGCAGGCCATCAGATGACCCCGTGGAAGCTCCTGTCCCCACCCCAGGCTCTGGGTCACACTTCTCCTTCCCTCCTTCATCCCGGAGACCCGGGACGGCGACTTGGGAGGTGATGCAAGGAACACAGTGAACGCCAGTCCGTCCCGTTCCATTCAGCGGCTGTTTATTAACCCCTCGGGTGTCACCCTGAATGGGTGACGCTGGGTGACAGACAGGGGCCTCAGTGCCAGGCGCCGGACTCAGAGAGCCCTGCAAACTGGGGGAGGCGGAGCCGGGGAGAGACAACACTTGTGCGTGGGCCAAGGCTGGATCCGAGGGAGCCCCGAGCCCAGGAGCTCTGGGAGACGGAGGAAGGACTTTCTGGAAGAGGGACAACTCGAGCGATGACAAGGAGGCCGGCCGGAGAGCCCGTGGGAAACATGGGCAAAATGGGTCCCAGCAACAGTGGCAAGGCCTGACCCTTAGAAGGTGTGGGCTGCGGTGTCCTGCCAGGCCCCGTCCCCTCGCCTCCAGCCCCAGGCCTCAACGGGACTCGGCCACCTCCAGGAGCGTCTGGCCCTTGAAGGCTTCCGGGCCAGCACAGCGCGTGTCATTCTGGAAGAACATCTTCTCTTTGTTGTCCACGAGCCACCGAAAGAGGTCGTGCAGGTGCCCGTCACAGACCCAGGGGTTGCGGGAGAGGTCGAAGCCGTACTGTAGGTTCTGGGTGGGCCGCCCCAGGCTGGCCCAGAGCCCCTTGGGCACGCTGGTCAGAGAGTTGTTAGACAGGTCCAGCATGTCCAGCCGCCGCAGGCCCCGGAAGGCGTCGGGGGCCACCTTGGCCAGCTTGTTGTCACTCAGGAAGAGGTATCGTAGGTCCGCCTGGGGCGCCAGGAGGTCCTCTGCAAGAGCGCGCAGTCTGTTCCCCTCCAGGTGCAGCCGTTCCAAGCACAGGGGCCCCCTCAGGAAGCCGGAGGGCAGAGCCTCCAGCTGGTTGTCACTAAGGTCAAGGACACGCAGGTTGGGGACGTTGGCCAGCAGCCCGGCGGGCAGCGTCCGGAGCTGGTTGCCGGACAGGTCCAGGTGCCGCAGGGCCGTGAGGCCGTGCAGCCCCGAGGCGTCCAGGGCCCGCAGCTGGTTCTCCTTCAGCACCAGGGTGTGCAGGGCGGCGGAGGCCCGGAAGAGCCCGGGCGGCAGGCGGCTCAGGGCGTTTCGGGTGAGGTCCAGCACCTTCAGCCCGGGCACCGGCTGCAGCAGCTCGGCCGACAGGTTGTGCAGCCGGTTGCTGGAGAGGTGCAGCTCCTGGAGCCTTGGGGCGCCCCGGAGGAGGCCGGCGGGCAGCCGGGTGAAGTTGAAGAACTCCACGGCCAGGTGGATGGTGTCAGCCGGGAGGCGGCGGGGGACTTCGGCGGGCGGCTTGCAGGCGATGGAGGTCCCGTTGACCGACTGGAACACCAGGCAGGCGGTGGGGTCTGGTGGGACCCCCTGGGCCGAGGCCACGGAGAGCAGCAGCAGGAACATGGTTCTAGAAAGATGGGGGTTCAGGCCCCCTGGGCTGCCGGCAACGACAGAAGGGGCTCAACAAGTCAAAACGAAGATATCCCCAGATGGGTGGAAATACCCCAAATGCGCCTCCCTCTTTCCGTCTCTGCTTCCATCACCCTGGACCATGCCGCCTCGTTGCTCACCTGGACCACCGTCCAGGTGCCGTCACCTCCTCCTCCTCCTCTGGTTTCCACCTTCACCCCGCGACAGCGGCCATAAGTAGCCTCTATTACAGGGAGAATTCTAATCCTCTGAAACCTAAGTTTCTTAGTCTGACCCCTAAGTGCTACCCTACCCCATTGCCAGCTCAGCCGCAATGGGCTGTTACTTATCTGCAGTCCAATTTGCTAATGTCTAGCTGGTTTTCTGGGTCATTTCTTATCTCCCTGGCCCCACGTTTTGAAGGCAGAGCCAGTGAACTCCTATTCATCCTGCAAAGCCCTAACTCCAATGCTCCCTTTTCCATGAAGCTGTCTCTGACCTTCCCAAGTAGAGTTCTCAGTTTCCCCCTCTGGGCTCCTCCTCTTTCCATCCAGCCCTGACCAGACCAGGTTAGGTAACCTGGGCCCAGCTCCATCCTGCTCCTAAGCACTCAGGTGCAACCCAGGTACATAGAGGATTCTGAACATGAAAAGTGCATCCTGGTTTGCGCAGTTCGGGGGGCGGGCATTTGGCCTTGGGATGGCATGGTTTACAGTTGGCACCGTAACCCTTAGGGGGCTGGGGCTTCTGTCCCTCTGGGTCCTTCTCTCAGGTCTGTGATGGGGGCTGGGCTCCCGCTCCCTGCCTGGCCCGGGGCCCACCTGGGGAGCCGGTCTGTCATAGTTCGAGCCCGAGGGTAGGTCCCTTCCAGCCTGCAGACCTACATCCGGCCCTTTGGCTTCAGTGGGTCAGACAGAATGTCTGTGTATCCCGTGCTGCCTGGCGGCCGGGCCTGCCCAGGATGGATGGGGTGGGGACCTACCTCTGGTTTCGCTCTCGGCTCCAAGAGGACATGGTGGCCTCTTTCCCTCCCATCCAGGTTCCTTTGGCCTGGCGAGGTGGCCTTCTACCTGCCTGGGCCGGGGGAAGTGGCACCAACCCTGGGGGAAATCCCTGCCCACATTCTGTTCCCGTTAGGGGCTGGACCTGGGCCAGGCAGGGGGAAGGGAGGGGCAAGGATTGCAAAATTCCTTCCTGGCAGGGGGTGGAGAGCAGGGGGGCAGGGTCCGCCCATTTCTTGGCCCTGCTTCTGCCCGGTTTCTCCTTCCTGATCCCTGCTTTTGGGGAGTGGGCACCCATGAGTCTCTGGGGCTGAGTTCCCAGTGCCCCCAGCCCAGGAATCAAAGTCAAGTTTGCAAGGGGGCCGGCCTTGGGGATGGAACAGCCATTTGAGCAAGATGTGCTATTTACGATAAATTTGAGCAACCAGGAAGCTCGCTCGGTAAAAAGAACAAAAAAAAAAAAAAAAAAACCCACTCGTCTTGAATTCGTGACATATTGCTGTTGGGTTGCTTTTTTTTTTTTTTTTTCTGTAATGAAATAATTTTTTAACAAATAGAATTCAAAAGGGAGCAGTGCCAAAATGCTCTAGGGTCTTGGAACAAAGGCTTGGGAGGGACTCAACCTGGCTCTGAATCCCGGCTCTGCCAGGAACTGCCTTGCTTTGTGACTTTCGGCGAGTGGCTTAACTTTTCTTGGCCTCGGTTTCCCCATCTGTGAAGCTCAACCTCAGTCTCCAAGGGTCCCTCCTGCTCTTTCTTTTTTCCTCTCAAGCTGATGTGCTGTTTATTTGGGATCTTTCTCTTTTCCTAATAAATGCATCTGGAGGCTAGAAATTTCCCTTTGAGAACGGCTTTGGCTGCACCCCATGGGTTTGGCTATTGAGCGCTCTCATTCTGGTTGAGTTCTAAAGATTCCGGTGTGATGTGTTATCTTGATCTGCACCCAGGACTTCTGTCAGGCCTGGCCATGGCCTTTTCCCCCCAGCCTGGTCTCTGAAGGAATTCGTCTCTGTTCTGTCTCAGTGGACACACAGGTTCAGAGACAACGCACAGGCTGGCGTAGACAGGCACAGATAAAGACAGACAGACAGACATGCACATGGATCCACAGCTATAGATACTGACACAGAGAGAAGCAAAAATACACAGACAGAACCAAACAGAGACACAGACAGAGCAGGAGAGAATGACAGACCTGCAGAGACAGACACACAAAAACAGACACACAAAAATGGGCAGAGGAGGGGCCGGCCCCGTGGCGCAGCGGTTAAGTGTGCACATTCTGCTTTGGCAGCCCGGGGTTCACCGGTTCGGATCCCGGGTGTGGACATGGCACCGCTTGTCAAGCCATGCTGTGGTAGGCGTCCCACATATAAAGTAGAGGAAGATGGGCACGTATGTTAGCTCAGGGCCAGTCTTCCTCAGCAAAAAGAGGAGGATTGGCAGCGGATGTTAGCTCAGGGCTAATCTTCCTCAAGAAAAAAAAGGAAGAAAAGTGTAGGCGAGGATGTGGAGAAAAGGGAACCCTTGTGCATCGTTGGTGGGAACGTAAACTGGTGCAGCCACTATGGAGAACGGTATGGAGATTCCTCAAAAAAATTAAGTCGATCCACCACAGGATCCAGCAATTCCGCCGCTGGGCATTCATCTTGAAAAGCGATGTGCACGCCGTGTCCACGGCAGCATTATTCACAGCAGCCGGGACAACAAGATGATCGAAGCCCGAGGCCATTATGCTCAGCGAAATAAATCAGGCGGAGAACGACAAGCACCGTGTGACCTCACTTCTATGTGGAATCGAAAAAATCCACACTCAGCCACCGAGAGGAGAGTGGCGGTTGCCAGGGGTCGGGGGTCGGGGGTCGGGGAGATGGCGGCCATGGGATACAAGGTTGCAGTTGTAAAAGGAGTCCCGGGGGTGGAAGGTACAGGCGGTGACTCAAGTTACTGATACTTTATCGTATCCTTGAAAGCTGCTCCCAGAGTAAATCTTCAAAGTTGTCACCGAAGGTAACAGTGTGACTGAAAGACGCGCAAACTAACCTCATCGCGGCCACTGTGTTTGCGGCACACGCGTGTCACGTCATCACATTGTACACCTGACACTCACACCATCTTCTGCGTCCCATGTATTTCAATCGAGCTGAAAAAATCAGACGCAGGCGCGGGAGGACCTGGCAGATGCCATCGTGACGTTTTGTGGATTTTCTTTTGTTGTTTAAATCAGTGTCCCCATAACGAGGGGACACCGGGGCTGTCTTGTTCACCGCCCCGTCCCCGGAGCCCAACACACACAGTAGGAGCTTAATGGACACGGGCTGGAAGAAGGCGTGTGAATTGTAATGACATAATTACGACCATCTCTCGAAATGAAATCGGATCATGTCCCCTGCTTAAAACCCTCTGATGGCTGCTTGTCCCACTTAAAATAAAACTCCTAAGGCTGGGGATGGGAAGGAATGGGAAGCTGGTGTTTCATGGGGACAGAGCTTCAGTTTGGGAAGATG